TCAAACCTCTCATGCATAAGAACCGATACCGCTGTACTGTGTATCGTGTTTACCATCCTGTCTTTCCTCTCAGATACTCTTTATGGTTGGGCGCGGCTACTTGTCTCCAGACCTCAGTTTACTGTCTAGTAGCTCACCCAAGTCCATGAAGAGGCTCATCATTGACTGCCTGAAGTTCAAACGTGACGAGAGGCCCCTATTTCCACAGGTGAGAGAGCACTGCCAAAGCATTTGTTGTGTACTTGGTTTATCATAGTCAGCAACAAGAGGGTATTTGACTTATTCCTCTATTTATTTACTGTTCTCTTATTGTCTTATTTGATGCATGTCGGCCTCCTTGGTTTTTGCTGTTTATTAGTGGGAGTACCTTTCCCACTTAACAATGTTTATTTTGTTTCTCCCCAGATCATGTTAGGCATTGAGCAGGTCCAGGACCTGTTGCCAAAAATCGAGCGGAGTGCCTCAGAGCCCTCCCTCCACCGGGCTGTCCATGCAGAGGAACTGAACCCACTCCTGTTCCACACCACTCGGCTGATGCCCCTGTGAGCTCTGCCAAGCCAGGCCCAGGAGTTGTCTGTCCTTCTGTCTGGGAGAGAGAGAAGAGACCATCACCACTGACGCGAACGTTGGCTGCATTACTCCCATGTGAGAGAGTCCACTGACAGCTGCCCATCCCAACACCCCCAGGGGCTATATCCCAAATGGCACACTATTCCCTACATAGTGCACTACTTTTGACCCGAGCCCTATGGGCCCTGGTCAAAAGTAATGCATTATAAGGTGAATAGGCTGCTGTTTGGGACGCAACCCAGCATTCCCCTTCCTCTGACACTGGTTGGGGCTCCTACAACACCACCACCACATGTAACCCCTCCTCACGCTGACACTCCACAGCACATCACAACCCCCTGAGCCCTCAGACTCTCCCTACTACAAATTAGAACCACACAGCTCCCCACCCGCTCCCCCTGCTCACAGGCCTAGACACACTGGAACTACAGAACACATGCTGGCCTGGCCATGTCAGAACCCAGACATTCCTATACTGTAACTCTACTGGCCCGGCCATGTCAGAACCCAGACATTCCTATACTGTAACTCTACTGGCCCGGCCATGTCAGAACCCAGACATTCCTATACTGTAACTCTACTGGCCCGGCCATGTCAGAACCCAGACATTCCTATACTGTAACTCTACTTGCCTGGCTATGGATTTCTCAAGGCTGCTTTTAGGGGTAGGACACCAGACTTTGTAGTCGTACCATAATAACGTCAGTGTTTTGCGCTTTTGAGTGCAAGCGATGAAAGAGAAATGCTTACAAAACAACAACATTCATGCACAGAAGATTACTTTCACTTGGTTTTTGGGTACCATATTTTAAGTTATTGGTCCTTTTGGTCCCATAATGGTTTTGGGAAATCATAGTGTTGTCGTGCAGTCTTAGAATATGACCATGAAGAAGCTGCTATACAACATGGATTTGATATGCCACTGTCTTTGAGACTCAAGTTAACTGCAGCATCAAATATGTACAGCACCATTTTAATAGGCACAGCAGGGTCGTATTTATTAGTGCACACCAAAGCAAAACATTTTGCAACTGAAATATGAAAACAAGCACTTCTTATTGGACATGGTTAGGTAGTCCCTCCCTGTTTCAGTTCATTTTCTTTCATTTGGTGCCTAGTGAATATGACCCAGACATGTATAAACCTGTGCATTGTTTCCAGTGAATACATAGGCTAGTTTAGCCCAGATAGTTTCTGTATGGCCTGAAACCTGTAGTCTTAACAAGTAAAGAGTATTCTCAATGCTTTACATGCTTACAGTCAGCTTGACTCTACATTGCACCATGGACCAGCACTTGTGCTAGCAAATCATGTTAAAACAAGCTGCCTTACTTATATGTATTTGCTTTTTGCTCATTGTGACACATGAAGCTTATGGCAGTGGTTGAAGTGAAAAATATTATTTCTAGTCTCTTCGGAGGATGTTTTTGGTTTAGTTTAAAATGGACTATTCATTATCAATCACGTGGCATCTAGTTTATCTGAATCCTGCTTTCAATATAACTTTTGTGGGGGTATAATAACTTGAAAATGTCCAAATGTTTGGAACATTGTTGTTTTCTTAATTCCTGATTGTAGTAGCTTATACACTTTGACCGGACTTTAGGAAATGGTAGCCTTTAACTTAAATGATTGACTTTTCCTCTTCCTGCTTCCTATTGCTGTTGATTGTGGGTTGCTACTTCAATTGACTGTTGTACCTAGTGAAAGATGGTTGCTTGCTTGCTTGCTTGGTATTAACAGTGATTAGCCTATTGCCCTCAGACTCAACTCTGGACCTGGAAGCCAGTTCCAATGTGTTTTTTTCATTGTTCCCCTCTAATCAGGGACTGATTTAGACCTGGGACACCAGGTGGGTGTAATTAATTATCAGGTAGAACAGAAAACCAGCAGGCTCCGGACCTCGTAGGGTAAGAGTTGAATACCCCTGGCCTATTGGTTTCCTTCTTTCAATGAAGGTGCATTGATTGTTATTTTGAGTGAGGCTTTTTCAATTGATACTAAGTAGATCGCTCCATGGTGCAACTGGGATGGGATGGCAGTTATTTGGCTGCATACTGGTTACCACGAGGGGCAGATTTGAATCATCAATGGTAACTTGTTCTTTTTTTTGTGTCATGCTTAATTTGAACTAATCGTAACTGTGATTTTAACCCATAAGGGGTCTGTTGTTTTTGGTTTTATGTATGCTGGAAATGGCTTGGACAGTAGAGGGTGTGACTTCGTGATACTGTATTTGACATGATCAATTTAAACTAGTGCAGATTCTATCGTGGGGTGATGGTTACTGAACAAATAATAACTGACAGTTTTTTAAAATAAAAAGCAGATGATATACAGGTTTTTAACCTAGATGTTTTAATGTTTTAAAGAGGGGCTGGGTACCCTATTGTTATTTACTCATTCCAATTATGTTGGTGGTTATGGTTGGGTTGTGTGAATAGGTTTGACTTGGAGATTTTGGTAGACAAGGGTTGGAAAAGGCTACATTTCTCATCTTATTTATTGATATTGTCATTGCAGATAGCGGTGTGATGAATCTGCTGTCATGGACCTTTTGGTGGATTAAATGTTTACTGAGTGATAAGAGATCACTCTTTGCAGCATTTCAATCATGAATGGTTTGGGTTCTCTAACGTAGCGGAATGTACTTTCAAGACATGGTACTGTCTCAAAATACTCTAACTGAGCTTCAGATTTCTGATACTCTGTTATGCAAGTGCATTTAATTGGCTTTTGATTGATTACAACATCACATTTTCCTCTGCAACTCTTAACTTCACCCATGGCCATAGTGAGCACTGAATTATTTACTAGGGTGGAATAATGTGGTATACACCCGCCCTACTGCTGATTCAGTATCCTCCTGAGACTTGGGCTACGTTATGTCATTACCCTCCTCTGGTCAGACCAGGAAATATGGAATGTGTCATTGAAGTGGCATTTATACTGTTATTAATGCAATATGCAGCAAAAGCAAGAAAAGGCATGGAGCATCTGTTTGAAGACGTTGCACATCAAACATTAGTTTGTCCCAGGTGTAGGTCATACACAAATAATTGAATAGCCCAAAGGCTTTTGAATGAAACATATCTTTCCAAATGAAATCCCTTTTATAGACTAGAGTTTCTGTTAAAGTATCCAGTGCATTTAGAGGTGTCCATGATGCAGGAATAGTCTAGCATTTTATGTTTGGTGGCATTGCTTTACCATAATGTCAGTCAGTTTCTGCTGAATTGATAGTATGTTTGTTACTCAGAGGCACTCTGGTGGAGGGCTCTGTTTTTTTTAACGACCTCCCTATTAAATAAAGAGAAGATATCTTAACATTTCAGTTTAGTCAAATGCATCTCCCACTCTCTTCAAAAGAGGACATTGTTTCTTCTGTTGTGTGTTCAGAGAGGAGGACAAAAGTGCCACAGTTACTGGAATTTTGTACAAACTAAATATAAAGAAATTGACCTCCCCTGAAATGGACTGCACTAGAGGCATGACGTCACATTGAAGATAGCAGTGGCTGTGCTTCAGACACAGGGTAATTACAGGGGCAGCGTGGGGAAACAAACCGGACTCATTTAACAACTGTCATATTTCAGAGCAGAAAAGAGAATGGATGATCTGTGTCTGAGTAGTTTTGCATATCTCTAGGTGAATTGCAATAATTGTGTGTGTATAGTTTCTGAGGTATCAGGGGTGTTCAGTTTGCAATAAATGGTATATTCTGCTGTGTACAGTTACATTTTTTTAAATGACAAAATTGTACTTGTTTCTATTTTTTGTGATGGTTTAAAAAAAGAACACAATTATTTTAAAATGTAAAGGACATTTTAGTTTTTTTTTAGTTTTTTTGTCTTAAAATATTGAGGATGCAGGATTTTATTCTTTAAATAAAACTGTGGAATACTTATGGAATACTTAAATGTCTGTTTTTATTCTTAAGTATATTTGTAAATGTACCGGCATATCTCAATTTGAAGTTAAATATATCTCGCCCCAGGATTGAGAAAACAGTAAGGTGGTGTGAAAAACTGCAAATCTACATAGAAAGGGACCTGAATGGAGATGTTGGAAATCCAAAACGGAAAGCATCCTTCATTTTCTGGGAATGAACTCGCATAACAAACCCAGCCCAAACAAGTTGGTAGTGTCATCACACCTTCAACAAAATGTTCTCACAGAAAGGAGGGTCCTTTTCTGACAGCCTCGTTGTTATATTAGTGAAGTGAAACCATCAGCTAAGCTAAAAGAAGAAGTGGTTAAATTGTTTCACCATGCAGGTTGAAAGTAACAGGAAACTATGATGTTGACAAGCAGCTGTCAACTGAGTCTGCCACTGCATAGTTACAAAGATGGTGATGGGTGACAGTTTTCTATAATTTTTTTAGCTCAAAGGGATATTATTTTAGGAAATCTGTTCCCAAGTATTCTACTGATGGTGGAAAAATCTATACAGTTACATATCGGGAGGGTAAAGTACTTTTAGTCAGGATCTTTGTGGGGTTAAAATGAATTAAAAGCTCAATGTTTATTGAATTATTTGGGTTTACATTATAAAGTGCCTGCCTTTCAGCATGAAATGAAACCTCAGAGAGCATGAACTGGCGGCATGTTACAGAAAACAAAATAAAACATACATTTAATTATATAAAATCTCATAGGTGAATGCTTTTCAAATTATTGTTGTAAAGATACGTGTATAAGGAAATCTTTTGTAAAACAGTTGAAGACAGATGTGTTCAGTGTGAACAGAAAGGTCCTAACCAGGGAGGTAGAATTTTCATAATTTGTAGGCGAGTCCAGACCGGCTTATGTGACAGAACAAAGTCATGGAGAAACACATGCCCAGGACCTACCAACATAGAAAAGACAAAATGGATGTGTTAGCCTACATGGTGTTCTGGTACAGTGAGGGAAAAAAGTATTTGATCCCCTGCTGATTTTGTATGTTTGCCCACTGACAAAGAAATGATCAGTCTATAATTTTAATGGTAGGTTTATTTGAACAGTGAGAGACAGAATAACAACAAAAGAATCCAGAAAAACACATGTCAAAAATGTTATAAATTGATATGCATTTTAATGAGGGAAATAAGTATTTGACCCATCTGCAAAACATTACTTAGTACTTGGTGGCAAAACCCTTGTTGGCAATCACAGAGGTCAGACGTTTCTTGTAGTTGGCCACCAGGTTTGCACACATCTCAGGAGGGATTTTGTCCCACTCCTCTTTGCAGACATTAACGTTTCGAGGCTGACGTTTGGCAACTCGAACCTTCAGCTCCCTCCACAGATTTTCTATGGGATTAAGGTCTGGAGACTGGTTAGGCCACTCCAGGACCTTAATGTGCTTCTTCTTGAGCCACTCCTTTGTTGCCTTGGCTGTGTGTTTTGGGTCATTGTCATGCTGGAATACCCATCCACGACCCATTTTCAATGTCCTGGCTGAGGGAAGGAGGTTCTCACCCAAGATTTGACGTTACATGGCCCCGTCCATCGTCCCTTTGATGCGGTGAAGTTGTCCTGTCCCCTTAGCAGAAAAACACCCCCAAAGCATAATGTTTCCACCTCCATGTTTGACGGTGGGGATGGTGTTCTTGGGGTTATAGGCAGCATTCCTCCTCCTCCAAACACGCTGAGTTGAGTTGATGCCAAAGAGCTCCATTTTGGTCTCATCTGACCACAACACTTTCAACCAGTTCTCCTCTGAATCATTCAGATGTTCATTGGCAAACTTCAGACGGGCCTGTATATGTGCTTTCTTGAGCAGGGGGACCTTGCGGGCGCTGCAGGATTTTAGTCCTTCACGGCGTAGTGTGTTACCAATTGTTTTCTTGGTGACTATGGTCCCAGCTTGCCTTGAGATCATTGACAAGATCCTCCTGTGTAGGTCTGGGCTGATTCGTCACCGTTCTGATGATCATTGCAACTCCACGAGGTGAGATCTTGCATAGAGCCCCAGGCCGAGGGAGATTGACAGTTATTTTGTGTTTCTTCCATTTGCGAATAATAACTGTTGTCACCTTCTCACCAAGCTGCTTGGCGATGGTCTTGTAGCCCATTCCAGCCTTGTGTAGGTCTACAATCTTGTCCCTGACATCCTTGGAGAGCTCTTTGGTCTTGGCCATGGTGGAGAGTTGGGAATCTGATTGATTGCTTCTGTGGACAGGTGTCTTTTATACAGGTAACAAACTGAGATTAGGAGCACTCCCTTTAAGAGTATGCTCCTAATCTCAGCTCGTTACCTGTATAAAAGACACCTGGGAGCCAGAAATCTTTCTGATTGAGAGGGGGTCAAATACTTATTTCCCTCATTAAAATGCAAATCAATTTATAACATTTTTGACATGCGTTTTTCTGGATTTTGTTGTTGTTATTCTGTCTCTCACTGTTCAAATAAACCTACCATTAAAATTATAGTGTAGTTTTGCAACACCATCCCAAATGGTACCCTATTCCCTGCATGGGTTCATCTGGTTAAAAGTAGTGCACTATATAGAGAATAGAGTGCCATTTGGGAAGCACACCATATTTCTTAGACGCTATTCAAGATGAGTAACATATAGGCCTCTCAGGTGACAGACGCTTCTGGTCAGGAATACATCTTTTTTGTATGTGAATGTCAATATAAACTGACACCCTGTATTAACTAGTAGGGAATCTGATCATACCTCAATAATGCAGAGCACAATCACACCAACCCCAGTGGCTAGGAAGTTCTCCCCAAACCACTCCGACAGCTTATCGTAACAACCCTGAGATGAAGAAGAGAAAATATCCTTATTGCGTGACATCAGCTATGTTTTTCTACAGTTTTATAGTTCAGTTGAGGCTTGTTACTCATATGAGCGGATATTGTATATGTTTTGTCATACGGCCTCCCAGTATACTGGATGCTTGATGTCACATGGGCTCTTGGAGCAGCAGGACATAGGCGCTTTGTCCTTCCAGTCACTTGCGTTATTGACCCCACAGCACTGGAACTACATGCAATAGAATTGAGTATGAGAAAAGCAGTGTTATCAACACATGAAATTACATAGGCTACATTACATTGCCACTCACTTTTGTTCTCACCCGTGACAGGGCGAAAGAGGGGCATCCATGTTTCATTGTAAAGTCTAAATGTTTCTCAATTCACACTCACCGTGGTCTGAATGATGTCCCAGTCGTCCGTGTTCATTGTGGAATTCCCACCTTTAGCTGAGTCCCTGGACATCTTCAGACTGTCTGTGAGATCCTTCTTTAGGAAGCTGTCAATCTAAGCACACACATTAATTTCTTAGCAGTATGAACGTCTCATAAAACATTACCTGATTATCTCCTATCATCTTTGACCTTTCCTCACAACCCTGGCCCTCTCTCAACTCCTGATTTCCCTGTTGTAAGTCCTCATTAGTAATGTATTAATGTTCTCTTCTTCACTTCATTTTCTCTCACCCCTTAACCTCCTACCAACGTCTGATGGTGCACCTGCTATATCTTACCTCTGTCTCATATACCAGCAGTAGACAAGCTACAGTCAGCTCCACCAACATCAGAATGAGCAGCAGGATGAAAAACTGCAAATCAAGACAAACTGAGTATATGCACATCCTTCTGGAAAATCCTTATGTAATCGCATGTTGTACTTGTAATGAGTGATTGTACCTTGATAAATAAAAAGAGGTAAATTACAAGTGTTTGTAAGTCAGTTTAAAGCAAGGACAGTGAATGACGAGACCAATGTCGCTGATGAATACAAAATAATGTCAAATATGAGTTCCATGTGAGACCTACAGTGATGAGGAGGCAGCGGTTCTCTTTCAGGGCCCCCAGGAACCCCAGGAAGGACACACAAGTCATGATGATGCCGGTGATGAGGAGTGTGTTGGACAGATTCAGGGAGTACAGGGTGGGGATGAGAGCAGACACCTTGGAGTTCAACATCATGAACACTCCAAAACCAAACACTGCCGTTCCACAAATCTGACCAAACACAACATGGTGTCAACATACATCATACAGAATATGGAGTCATATGACATTATTGTGGTGTCCATATTAGGACAGTCTCATCTGGACTTGTCAGGCTTATCAGGAGGAGGCTGTCCTAAAATGTACATCATACAGGATAAATGGAAATTGAAATATTGAACATGGGCAGGGTTGCGTTGGGTAGGTAACTTTCTAAATGTAATCTGTTACAGTTACCTGTCCAAAATTGTAATGGTTACTTTTGGATTACTTTCCCCTTAACCTTAAGAGGCATTAGAAGAAGACAAAAGGGATCCATGAAATGCATTTAATGTGTCATCTTAGTGGTCTCTGACTTCCTCAGGTGGGATAAACTTAAACTTGTGCCTTTTTTCAATGCTGAATTGAATGTCATTGAGAAAACACAAAGGTATTTTCTCCCCCGCAAACATCCTTTCTGAATTTAAAAGTAATCAAGAAGTAATCATGTAGTTTTTCAAAAGTACTGCATCTGTTTATCTGATTACAATATTTTAGCTTTTAACGTAACTAATTACAGTTACTGCTTTTTGTAATCAGATTACATGTTACTCCCAAACCCTGAACATGGGTTTCAATCTCATTCAGGAAAGTAAGAGTAGAAGGCTAATAGGTGGATGTTGGAGATACGTACAAAGCACAAGAAGTTAACCACACACATGGTGTATTTCAAACACTTGAGGCAATTTTGAGCCATTCCCAGAAGTGCTTCCAGACCTGTAAAATAAACAAGAGACAGATAAACACATTGTGCCAATACATCAATGATAAGCGTGTCTTTAACACAGAGACCATCAGTGGAAACAGTATAATATACAACACAAATACACAGCAACAATTGTTTAAAAATAATACGAATATCATTGAGTCAGATTTTTATTTTGTTCATCTGAATAAATTAAAAGGAACAGGGTACTGTTTGTGAGTGAGTAGTGAGGTCATCAAGTGTCACAGAATGAGGAAATGCTGTATCTGGTTTACTTCCTTTAAATTTATCTAGGGGACACGGCCAAACATTTTTAAAGGGTTTTCATCATAGCTTTTAACATGATGTTTAGACCAATACAGTTTTGATTTCTATGGAAAAATCTGTAGATTGAATAGAGCCCTTAGTCTTTGAGGAAATATCAGTGAAAGTATACCAACATCATAACAGTGTTTCATCCCACTGCGGAATGGAAATATTAGTGGAATTGTACACCCACTCAATCACAGGAGGCTGCTGAGGGGAGGATGACTCATAGTAATGGCCAGAACAGAGCTAATGGAATGGAATCAAACACATGGAAACCATGTGTTTGATGTATTTGATACCTTTCCATTAATTCCACTCCAGCCATTACCACAAGCCCGTCCTCCCAAATTAAGGTGCCACCAACCTCCTGTGCAATGTATCCAACCCAATATGACACTTATCCTCTGACACCATGCTGTGTCTGTGATTATTAGCCATATTTAAATGTAACTCACCGAGTCAAATTTAAAATACACTTTATATCCTCCCTGACATTGAAATCAATTACTGCCAAACAACCTCTAAGGCTGAGTTTACACAGGCAGCCAAATTCTGATATTTTTTCCACTAATTGGTCTTTTGACCAATCACATCAGATCTTCTCACATAATCTTTTTCACAGCTGATCTGATTGGTCAATAGACCAATGAAGGAAAACATATCAGAATTTGGCTGCCTATATAAACACAGCCTAAGAAGCCCCAAACTGCCTTATCTTTCTTCTTATAACACTTTACTGGAGAAATGTTGTTTTTATATTAAATATACATGTTTTCAATATACAACACTCCCAACATTTAATTTTAGATTATTCTCATAGGTTTGTTGAAGTTCCTCTCTTTTCATCAGTGGAGGCTGCTGAGGGGAGGACGGCTCATAATAATGGCTGGAACGGAGCGAATGAAATCAGCCATTACCACGAGCCCGTCCTCCCCAATTAAGGTGACACCAACCTCCTGTGCTTTTCATATACACAGGAACAACTTTTCTTATCCCCTGACGTCTATTAGACTAGACACATCACTCATAGCAATCTAAAGACACATATCCTCACTGTTTTACAGCAAATAAAAGATAACTTCACATTTAAAATGATGACACTGATGAGTGGGAATGGTACGGATTGAGCTTTGGTAAATGAATACAATTGAAACCTTGTGCTTACCTTGTCAGTTGAAATAGTGATACAAGTTTCAATCAAACCCAATACCCTTTACAATCCGTTGTTTAGAGGATGTACTGCAACTTTGACTTGACTGTACTGGTACTTTCCATTCTCAGTAGACTGTAGGCAAGGGGATATGTCAATTCATTCTACTTCCTTATTCTACGGCACACTATGGGGCCATGCATTTCAAAATAGCACTGAGGGGAAAGACAAAATGACAACTTCTGTGACACATTACCTACCAGAGGAGGCTGGTGGGAGGAGCTTTGGGAGGAGGGGCTCATTGTAATGGCTGGAATGAAATCAATGTTATTTCCATGTGTTTGATGTGTTTGGTACCATTCCATTTATTTCATTCCAGCCATTACAATGAGCTCGTCCTCCTATAGCTTATCCCACCAGCCTCCTCTGCTACATTTAGCAAAGACTTGTGAACCCTGTTCTCCCACACACTGAGGGAAATTTGGGCCCTATGTTTTCAACCATAAATAACCAAAGCTCAGAAATATTTAATTAAGTAAAAGCTTACTCATTGTTGTTTCAATCATACAGTATACAGTACATTCGGAAAGTATTCAGACCCCTTGACTTTTTCCACATTTTGTTACATTACAGCCTTATTCTAAAATGGATTAAATTATTTTTTTGCCTCATCAATCTACACACAATACCCAAAAATGACAAAGCGAAAAACAGGTTTTTATAAATTTTTGCTAATCTATAAAAAATACAAAACTGAAATACCTTATTTACATAAGTATTCAGTCCCTTTTCTACGAGACTCGAAATTGAGCTCAAGTGCATCCTGTTTCCATTGATCATCCTTGGCCGCCCGGCTAAGCAATTGGGGGAGAAGGGCCTTGCGTCAGGGAGGTGACCAAGAACCCGATGGTCACTCTGACAGAGCTCCAGAGTTCCTCTGAGGAGATGGGAGAACCTTCCAGAAGGACAACCATCTCTGCAGCACTCCATCAATCAGGCCTTTATGGTAGAGTGGCCAGACGGAAGCCACTCCTCAGTAAAAGGCACATGACAGCCCGCTTGGAGTTTGCCAAAGGCATCTAAAGACTCTCAGACCATGAGAAACAAGATTCTCTGGTCTGATGAAACCAAGATTGAACTATTTGGCCTGAATGCTGATGAAACCTGGTACCATCCCTACGGCGAAGCATGGTTGTGGCAGCATCATGCTGTGGGGATGTTTTTCAGCGGCAGGGACTGGGAGACTAGTCAAGATCAAGGGAAAGATGAACGGAGCAAAGTACAGAGAGATCCTTGATGAAAACCTGCTCCAGAGCACTCAGGACCTCAGACTGGGGCGAAGGTTCACCTTCCAACAGGACAACGACCCTAAGCACACAGCCAAGACAATGCAGGAGTGGCTTCGGGACAAGTCTCTGAATGTCCTTGAGTGGCCCAGCCAGAGCCCGGACTTGAACCCGATCGAACATCTCTGGAGAGACCTGAAAATAGCTGTGCAGAGATGCTCCACATCCAACCTGACAGAGCTTGAGATGATCTGCAGAGAAGAACGGGAGAAACTCCCCAAATACAGGTGTGCCAAGCTTGTAGTGTCATACCCAAGAAGACTCGAGGCTGTAATCGCTGCCAAAGGTGCTTCAACAAAGTACTGAGTAAAGGGTCTGAATACTTATGTAAATGTGATATTTCAGTTTTTTCTTTTTTATAAATTTGCTAAACTTTCTGAAAACCAGTTTTTGCTTGTCATTATGGGGTATTGTGTGTAGATTGATGAGGAGAAAAAACAATTTAATCCATTTTAGAATAAGGCTGTAACATAACATAATGTGGAAAAAATAAAGGAGTCTGAATACTTTCTGAATGCACTGTATATCCAGAGTGACTCTGTAAGAGTAAAAAGGTGTTATGTGCATCCACAATTTTATGGCGACTCAGTGGTTTAATAGACAGGTATGAGCAGTCAAGAATCCAGTTGATGAATGTTTACATTTATTTTCCTATAGGTTTGAAACATCACAATAACATACATACGTGTTAGTCTCTAAGATGCAATTTATTCAGAATGAAATTAAAACACAAAAATACAGAATGATAGCTTAAATTCACAGGAGGCTGCTGAGGGGAGGACGGCTCATAATAATGGCCGGAACGGAGCAAATGGAATGGCATCAAACGCATGGAAACCATGCGTTTGATGTATTTGATACCATTCCACGAATTCCGCTCCAGTCATTACCATGAGCCCGTCCTCCTCAATTATGGTGCCACCAACCTCCTGTGCTCAAATTATTCAAAGTCTCAATGGCAACTGTTCTTGCCAATCTATTTTGTTAGATGCTTGGTCATATGCTAAGTACTACTACTCATAACATTACTTCTCTCAGAAAAGGTCACATATTGCGTTGTGTTCTATTGGTAGAGCATGGCACTTGCAACGCCAGGGTTGTGGGTTCGATTCCCACGGGGGGCCAGTATGAAAAAATTTATGCACTCACTAACTGTAAGTCGCTCTGGATAAGAGCGTCTGCTAAATGACTAAAATGTAAATGTAATAAACTGGGTGGTTTGAGCCCTGAATGCTGATTGGCTGACAGCTGTGGTATATCAGACCGTATACCATGGGTATGACAAAACATTTATTTTTACTGCTCTAATTACGTTGGTAACTAGTTTATAATAGCAATAAGGTACCTCGGGGGGTTGTGGTATGTGGCCAATATACCACGGCTAAGGGCTGTGTCCAGGCACTCCACGTTGCGTCGTGCATAAGATCAGCCCTTAGCTGTGGTATATTGGCCATATACCACACCTCCTTGGGCCTTATTGCTTAAACAAACAATCAAACAAAAACCAAACACGTGAAGGAAAATGATATCCTTATCACATCTACATTTTAGTCATTTAGCAGACGCTCTTATCCAGAGCGACTCACAGTGAGTGCATCGCAATGGTCCCCCGTGGGAATCGAACCCACAATCCTGGCGTTGCAAAGGCCATGCTCTACCAACTGAGCCACATAGGACATCAAAACATCTTTGAGATTTTTCATGTATTGAAAAGCTCTATATAAATTACATCTATTATTATTTTGTCTCAAGTTAATGAGATCCTGTATTGCGTAATAAGCCAGTTGAAATTCATGGGTTCTCCTTTCACTTGTAACCATATCCATTACGACTGAACTGGCAGAAGATGGGGACGGTGAAACACATGCAAATGAACTGCAAACAAGAACAAAAACATGTTTTGGATGCATAGTCAGTACATTTGAACTCAGACCACAGTCCATACAGACTAAGGAAGAGGAAACAGGCTGGTGGTAATCATACAAATAATGATTATTTCTATTTCTATAGTAATTCTATTCCTATGCTGGTAATCACATTGACCCAAATGAGAAAAGACGTAGAAGGTGATGTTTACTGTACCTGTAGAATGAACAGGGAGACGACACCTGCTCCAGTGCATAGAAAGTTATGTGCAAACCAGTTCCTGAGCTTCTTATGGCAGCCCTGAAAGAGACAGAGGTCATATTGCTGTGGCAGTTCTTCAAAATAAAGATGTAAGACAAAAGCTGCATCCAAAATGACACCCTATTCCTTTTATAGTGCACTACATATGTCCAGGGCCCATAGGGCTCTGGTCAAAAGCAGTACACTATATAGGGAATAGGGTGCCTTTTGGGATGCTGACAGAGAAACAAGCACACCTCCTGCCAGTTAGGTTGGGGGATGATGTTACAGGGGTTTTTCGTACAACAGGAGAGGGGCACATTGCCCTCCCAGTCTGCCACGCCGTGGACCCCACAGCACCTGAACTGAACACAGCAAAGCCACTGGGTTACCATCCTGTAACAACACTGTCCGGGCAAGCAGCATGGAGAAATGTACTGGAATGTTATTGAGGTCTAGGTACAGCTTGTATTATGTATACAGTGCGATATGTATGAATTTAACGTTACACCTACTGAATACTCACAATATGCTGGACAACATCAAAGTCCTCTTTAATGGTTAGGTTCCCCTCTGACGTAGAATTCTTGTATGTCTCCAGGCTACGCATCAGGTCTTTCTCAAAGAAAGTGTCAATCTGTATTGCAAACAGGTCACATATTTATATGACTTCTACTAGCACCATTACACCTTTTATTTAATAAATAGATGTCATAAGGACAGCAGAGAACCCTTTAGATGTTTCTTACCTCCCTCTCGTACACCAGAAACACACAGGCCATGGCCAGCTCCACCAACATCAAGATAAACAGCAGGATGAAAAACTGCAATTACAACAGATCACAAATTACTCATAGATCATGGCTGTGTCCCAAATGGCACCTTCAGAGTGCACTACTTTTGATCAGGCAGCAATAGAGTGCCATTTGGGACACAGCCTTATTGTGCCTGGTCTCTGACAAATGACCTAATAAAACAAATAAATAAAGAATATCTGTGCAGACTCACAGTGATGAGCATACAGCGGTTTTCCTTCAGGGCCCCCATGATTCCCAGGTAACACACACATGTCACGATGGTACCCGTGATTGTCAGGGTGTTGGCAGGGTAGAGGGGCCAGAAGGATGTGATGAGGGAGCCAAATCTAGAGCGCATCATCTGGAACTCTCCAAAACCCACGATGAAGGCGCCACACAACTGGGACACACAAGTGTAAAAGGCTTACATTGGGGTGAAAAAAAAGGGAATACATGATCCTGTAGATCTCTCAAATTGTTGATACAAAAATGTAGAAATTTGATGAAAATGACTGAGGAAAATCATTAGTTTTGATGACTTAGTAAAGTATCTGAATAAAGAAAGTATAGAAAGTATCTTGAATACAGTGATGTTTATGCTTTTATCCCCTCTACAGGCTGCATTTGACATTACAGATGTCACCACGTTTAAGAGACGATAAAGAGTTCATAATAACCTACCCAGCAGATGAAGTTGAGGAAGGTGACAACACCTTTCAAGCAGTTCACACGGGTACGATTCATATTTACTTATGGTGATGATCCCATCAACCTGAAGAAAAAAACACAATTCAATATCATGTTCAACAGTTAATGCTTACCTTTCATTTGATTGATAACAGGATGGAGGAGGAGCTAAAGGGCGCAAATGTCACCAGCCAGACCGCATTCAAAACCACGTCTGAGGATTTTGCAATTTTCCAAACAACACCTGACAAGCACTCTTCCAAAGAAGACTACCTTGAAAATCAATCGAGGCGCAATAACATTTTAATCGATGGAATTGAGAACGTACAGACTGAAGCTTGGCATGACACAGAAGTCAAGGCCAAGAAACTCCTGGCAGATCAACTCAAACTGGGCCCTAAACTCATGGAGATGGAGAGGACGCATAAGAATGGCACTTTCTTCCCCGATGGACGGCCCAGATCTATAGCGGTGAAACGCCTCAAAAGAAAGGAACTGCTGCCACGACAAAAGAAAGGTCATCGCATACCTGACGTATGATCAGCTAGTCGTTCCCCCTCGTAGGCCTATGGCAAGTGACTCAGCTATAGTGCACTGATTTTACACACGCATACACACCCACACCCATATTTACTCTACTTTGTTAATGTGTTTCACCTAACCTCATGACCAAAAACACAGATTGCTCTAAATGTCATAACCCTCTGAAGTCTTCAGTGGTGTTATGTGGACAGTGTTAATTTTTTGGTGGTAAAAAAGTGGTAATTGGATGCATCTATTGGCCACCCGATTCTGACATTGGTAGTTTCATTGTTATCCTTGCATCAACCTTGGATTTGATTAATAATGAAGATAAAAATTTGTTTTCTATTGGGTGATTACAACATACATTTATTTTAAAGTGAGAACCACTCACTGACATCTGACTTTTTGAATGCTTTATACTCCAGCTATCTGTATCCCCTTCATCTATAAGCCCACAAGAGTGACCAGTTCATCGGCCACCCTTACTGATAATATTTTTACAAATTCTTTGAATAATGTGGCTAAAACAGGTATACTGACATTTCTGACCACTTTCCAATTTTCCATTTCTCATTGGCAGCTGGAAATGAACAGATGGGAATGATTAGTAGCATTAAATATACAATATTTAACTAAAGTATTTGTGAGCGCTTTAAGATGTTGATTGATAATATTGAATGGTAAATGTTTATAATCAGGCCGATGTGGAGTCTGCTTACCAGACTTTTCTCACATCTTTCAACTGTGTATGTCCCCACTGCTTTCCCATAGTTAAACCATGTAAGAGAGGAGCAGAAGGGTTCTGGAAATCCTCAGTTTAAAAAAAACAAGTTGTATAAAAAGTTTCTCACAAATCCCTCTCCCTTGACTTCTGCAAATTACAAAAAGTATAAGAACAAATTTACTCACCTACTTCAGATAACCCAAAAATATATTTTACTAACAAATTCCAAGAATCCTTAAATAATTAAAAGTCAACTTGGAAAATCTTCAATCAACTGTTGAATAAGAAAAAGGCATCTACAACTATCCCATCTCAATTTATTGTTGGAAATAAGACCTATAGTGATCCTGATGTTATTTAATGTGAATTTAATAACTTTTTGTGAATGTGGGATCCTCTCTGTCAAAGAAAATTTAGAAAACTGATGGAAATCACTTGGATTACATTAAGGTACATTTCCCTTTTCTGCTTCAATTTGATCCTCCTGATGTAATGGATGTGATGGAGATAATTGATAACTTAAAGATATCAGCAGCAGGTCATGATGAGATTGGTGCCTCTCTGTTGAAATCACTGTCTTCCTCGATCACTGAGCCTCTATCGTACAGTGCATTCAGACCGCTTGACTTTTTCCACGTTTTGTAACGTTACAGCCTTATTCTAAAATGTATTTTAAAAAATTCAGTCATCCATCTACACACAATACCATATAATGACAAAGCAAAAACAGATGTTTATAATTTTTTTGAAATATATAAAAAATAAAAAAACTGAAATATCACATTTACATAAGTATTCAGGCCCTTTACTCAGTACTTTGTTGAAGCACCTTTGGCAGCGATTACAGCCTTGAGTCTTCTTGGGTATGACGCTACAAGCATGGCACACCTGTATTTGGGGAGTTTCTCCCATTCTTCTCTACAGATCCTCTCAAGCTCTGTCAGGTTGGATGGGGAGCGTTGCTACACAGCTATTTTCAGGTCTTTCCAGAGATGTTCGATCGGGTTCATGTCCGGGCTCTGGCTGGGGCACTCAAGGACATTCAGAGAATTATCCCGAAGCCACTCCTGCGTTGTATTGGCTGTGTGCTTAGGGTCATTGTCCTGTTGGAAGGTGAACCTTCGCCCCAGTCTGAGGTCTTGATGCTGCCACCACCATGCTTCTCCGTAGGGATGGTGCCAGGTTTCCTCCAGACGTGATGCTTTGCATTCAAGCCAAAAAGTTACATCTTGGTTTCATCAGACCAGATAATCTTGTTTCTCATGGTCTGAGAGTCTTTAGGTGCCTTTTGGCAAACTCCAAGCGGGCTGTTATGTGCCTTTTACTGAGGAGTGGCTTCCATCTGGCCACTCTACCATAAAGGCCTCATTGGTGGAGTGCTGCAGAGATGGTTGTCCTTCTGGAAGGTTCTCCCATCTCCACAGAGGAAATCTAGAGCTCTGTCAAAGTGACCATCAGGTTCTTGGTCACCTCCCTGACTAAGGCCCTTCTCCCCCGATTGCTTAGTTTGGCCGGGCGGCCAGATCTAAGAAGAGTCTTGATGGTTCCAAATGTCTTCCATTTAAGAATGATGGAGGCCACTGTGTTCTTGGGGACCTTCAATGCTGCAGACAATTTTTGGTACCCCAGATCTGTGCCTCAACACAATCCTGTCTCGGAGCTCTACGGACAATTCCTTCAACTTCACGGTTTGGTTTTTGCTCTGACATGCACTGTCTACTGTGGGACCTTATATAGACAGGTGTGTGCCTTTCCAAATCATGTCCAATCAATTGAATTTACCACAGGTGGTCTCAAATCAAGTTGTAGAAACATCAAGGATGATCAATGGAAACAGGATGCACCTGAGCTCAATTTCTAGTCTCATAGCAAAGGGTCTGAATACTTATGTAAATAAGGTATTTCTGTTTTAGATTTTTTATACATTTGCAAACATTTCTAAAAACCTCTTTTCACTCTGTCATTATTGGGTTTTGTGTGTAGATTGCTGAGGATTTTTTTTTATTACATCCATTTTAGAATAAGGCTGTAATGTAACAAAATGTGGAAAAGGTAATGGGGTCTGAATACTTTCCGAAGGCACTGTATATCTTCACCAAATCTATGTAAACTGGTATTGTTCCTAAAGATTTGAAAATTGCCAAAGTTATCCCACTCTATAAATCTGGGGATCCAAGATCTTATCGCCCCAATATCTGTACTACCATGTTTTATATCTGTATTACCATGTTTTATATCTGTACTACCATGTTTTATATCTGTATTACCATGTTGTTCTAAAATCATAGAAAAATTGGTGTATAAGAGAATGTTGAAACATTTTAAAATGAACGCTATTCTATATGAGCACCAATATGGTTTTCATGATTATACATATCATTGGTTATATAGTTATGTTTATGCAAACGGCTATGCATCTACCAGGGCCAAGATATCCTGTAGTGTGCCACAGGGTTCAATAATTAGACCTTGTTTATTCTTAATCTATATCAATGAGCTTGCTGCTGTGTCTTCTACCGTACTTCCCATTCTCTTTGCTGATGATACCAATTTGATTTTATCACACAATAATTTTGATTCATTAATTCATGAAGCTAACTCAGGCATGGCCACATTTTCAGAATGGTTCCAGATTTAAATACGTTATTGTATTCACTAGTAAGAATAAGGAGTATTGTAAAAAATATATAAAAAAATTGCCAGAATCTCAATTGGTGGGAAAGAAATGGAACAAGTCACACCCACTAGATTCCTTGGAGTTCTAATTGATGAAAAGTTATCCTGGAAAGATCATATTCAATTTGTCTGCAGCAAAGTGATAATCTGTTGGTATCATCAGAAAGATTAGTGGTTTGGTTCATAAGGCTTGCTTCCTAACTCTATACTATAGCTTAATTTAACCATTACTCATTTACTGTAATATTGTCTGGGCCAGTACATACATCATACAAAATACATTCGCAAGACTAGCCACCTCCTCTAATTACCTGGGTCCATCTGCACCTTTGTTTAAGAAACTCAATTTCTTGTCTATTTACGACGTTAATGTACGCCAATTATGCACTTTCATTCACAAATACTCATACCTCCCAGACAGTTTACCTAAACCCTTCAATGGATTCTTCCAGGTTAATTCCGAAATCCATCTATATAACACAAGACACTGCGATAACCTTCACCCTCCCCACTGCCGCACCTCACATAGTCAATTCTCTATCAGATACAGAGGTACCATACTCTGGAATTCTTATCTTCACATTGCCAAAACCTCATCATCCCTCAATAACTTCAAGTGAAGACTGGGGGTCAGCCTGATGAACCAAACTACTCAGTAATCAACTCCATATGCCCCAACTCTCAAACACTCACATCCACACATGCACACACATTTAAACAAAACATATAATTTTTTTGTGATTGCTGATCAGTTCATTTGTACATTTATGATTAGTGGGTTTTGTTATGTTTTAACAAACTTTTTTTGTTGTTGTACTTATGTATTGTTTTGTAGTGTGGTTACCCATTGGGCTTCCAACCACACCTGCATACCGTTTTTATGTTTGTTGTTTGTCACTTATTTTCTTTGGTGCAAATAAATTAAACAGGATACAAAATGTTTCATCTCGCTTTAGAGTAGGAAAGCAGTTGATTCAAGTGACCATGACTACTCCTCATGTCTGATGGTTGAAGTGTTGACAAGACAGCACTGTTTGGAATGACAACACTGAGCATGGTGCCTGACCTATCCAAACATGTTATAGCCCCATTCCTATGCAAAGTACTGTCCCAAGCACATTTCCTACTTCATTCAACATTTAAATTGCCATTGAGACTTCCAATGTATTGCATGACTTACCATTACAGAGTAATGACTGACAATATGCCACTAATTGTCAGAGCTTGTTGCAGTTTTCTTTTAAAGTCTAGATATACTTTGTACAATAAGATATTTTTCATCTACTTCAAATCTAAATAATTGTGCTGATTTTAAATAACACAACTTTTAAACATATCAGTAAAATCTACCGTAAATATTTTTTTTTAAATCACTGAAGAGGACACAGTACCTTACAAACAAAGCGATCAAAAGTAGTCCACAATGTTCCCTCAGTTAAAACAGCAGATATAATACCTGGGTACCATTGGTGTTACACTGAAACTTCTGGGTGTTGACCGTTGACAGGTAAGGGCTGGAGCCTGGTGGCATAAGAGTGAAAAAAGAATCAAAGGGAACA